AAAAAAAAAAAAAAAAAAAAAAAAACAAAACCAGTTTGGCAGTTTGTTAAAAAGTTAAACATTTTGGTGTAATCAATCCCAAGTTAAAAAAAAAATTAAATATATCCCTACCATAAGATCCAGTTATTCTACTCCAAAGTATTTATGCAGAGAAAAGAAAGCCTATGTCTATACAAAGCTTTATACAAAAATGTTCTAAACAGCATTATCTGCAATAGCCAGAAAGAGAAAGCAACCCACATATTCATCAGCGGATCAAAGGATAAACAAATTGTGATGTACTCATATAAGTAGAAGACTACTTGGTAATAAAAAGAACATAGAACAACATGGATGAATCTCAAAATAATTATGCTGAGAGAAGCCAAATGCAGGGTATGATGTGTATTTATACATCATCGCTGCAAATTAATCTATAATGACAGAAAGTAACCCAGTGGTAACCTGGTGCGGGGAGATAAAACTTTTGAAGGTAATGGATATGTGCATTATCTTGTTATGCAAGCATTATCTTGCTTATGCTTTCACAGGATTATACTTATGTCAAATTGCATGTTTTAAATACATGCGGTTCACTGTAAGTCAATTACACACCTCAATAAAGCTGTTTTGTTTTTTTTTTTGAGACAGAGCCTCAAGCTATCACCCAGGGTAGAGTGCCGTGGCATCACATCTCACAGCAACCTCCAACTCCTGGGCTCAAGCAACTCTCCTGACTTCACCTCCCAAGTAGCTGGGACCAAAGGCACCCACCACAGGGCCCAGCTATTTTTTGGTTGCAGCTGTCATTGTTGTTTGGCGGCCCGGGCTGGATTTGAACCTGCCACCTTAGGTGTATGTGGCTGGCACCTTAGTCGCTTAAGCCACAGGCGCCGAGCCAAGCTGGTTTTTTTAAACAAGCAAAAACATTTGTAACTTCTCTGTCTGGGAATATACAGAGGGGTAAGTTACAGAAAGAGAAGTAGCAAAGAAAATGGAAAGAAAGTAATGAGTAAGTCAAAATTCACAACAGCAATCACCAGGAGAGAAAGGGAGGGAGGTGCCAGTGGGAGGGACAGAGGGAACTTGTCATTTTCTGGTATGGGTAGTATACTACATCTGAAACTGAGTATTGGACGTCTCACTATCCTTCTATCTACATGCATGTTTTTACATATCCTTTTGCATATGATAAATTTCACAATTTAGAAGAAAAGAAAGCTGATGGACAGGAGCATAAGGCAATAAACCATTAGCTAAACTACATTATCATTTTTGGCAAGGTCTCTTCAAAACTTTTCAAAGGAAACATCTGATCGCTGGGATGAAACACTTTCAAGGCTGACCAATGCCACTGGTTTGAAAATAGCAAACCTGGCTCGGCGCCTGTAGTACAGTGGTTATGGTGCCAGCCACATACACCAAGAGAGGCAGTTTCAAACCCAGCCCAGGCCAGCTAAATAACAATGACAACTGCAACAAAAATATAGCCAGGAGTGGGCAGTGCCTGTGGTTCAAGGAGTAGGGCATGGGCCCCATATACAGGAGGTGGTGGGTTCAAACCCAGCCTGGCCAAAAACTACAACAAAAAATAGCCAGGCGCTGTGGCCAGTGTCTGTAGTCCTAGCTTCTTGGGAGGTTCAGGCAAGAGAATCGCTTAAGTCCAAGACTTGGAGGTTGCTGTGAGCTGCAATGCCACAGCACTCTACCCAGGGCCCCAAAACGACATAGTGAGACTATGTTGCAAAAAAAAAAAAAAAAAAGGGCTCAGCACCTGTGGCTCAAGTGGCTAAGGCGTCAGCCACATACACCTAAGGTGGCAGGTTTGAATCCAGCCCAGGCCTGTCAAACAACAATGACAGCTGTAACCAAAAAATAGCTGGGCGTTGTGGTGGGTGCCTGCAGTCTCAGCTACTTGGGAGGCGGAGGCAGGAGACTCTCTTGGGCCCAGGAGTGGGAGGTTGCTGTGAGCTTTGATGCCATAGCACTCTACACAGGGGCACAGCTTGAGGCTCTGTCTCAAAAAAAAAAAAAAAATATATATATATATATACAGGGAACTTGACTCAGTGCCCATAGATCAGTGGTTAGGGCGTTGACCACATGCACCAGGGCTGGTAGGTTCCAACCCAGCCTGGCCTGCCTAAACAACAATAACAACCCTGGGAGTTGTGGAAGGTGCCTGTAGTCCCAGCTACTTGGGAGGCTGAGGCAAGAGAAGCCCAAGAGTTTGACTACCAAGGGAACATAGTGAGACTCTGTCTCAAAAAAAAAAAAATTAAAAATGAAAATAGCAAACTCTTCATCTGTTTAAAACAGATGGGTTATCAATTTCCAATAAGAGAACAGAAAGATCAAACAGAAATGCTATTATTTACTACCCTACCTTGTGATAGTTTTGTACTTGTTAAGTAAATAATAAAGCTATTCACTCACAATCACTCTTGAGGTACAGGGGATTAATATTTAAGTAGTACCCACCAGGGCCGGCGGTGGGTACAGCTCACGCCTGTAATCCCAACACTTCGGAAGCGAGGTGGGTGGACTGCCTGCACTCACAGGTTCGAGACCAGCCTGAGCCAGAGCGAGGGCATTGTTTCAGGGCCTATAGTCCCAGCTACTTGGGAGCCTGAGGCAAGAGGATAACTTGAGCCCAAGAGTTTGAGGTTGCTGTGAGTGAAGATGCCATAGCACTCTACCAAGGGTGACCAAGTGAGACTGTCTCAAAAAAATAAATAATACCCACCAGCTAGAATAATCTTCCTTGCACTTTTTCTTCAAAAGCCCTTAGTCTTTTCTCCCTTCTATTTTTGTTTACTTGGCTGCTGTCTTTATCAAATGATTTTAAATATAATCTATGGTAAATAAACAACAGCCGTCTCCACCTCACTTTCCCTAACACAATTTTGCTGCAATCAAAGCTTTGGAGTCTTGGTCTGATCACAGCACAGAGGAAGCAGGGAACTCAGGCTCCAGACATAATTTAAAAGCCAAACAATTTTAGGTTTCAGCTGGAAAGAGAAAATGTGCTCTGGGCTTGGTTCTTGTCAACTAACTACCCAACTATTCTGGATGAGCAGCACATCCCTGCAACTTCTGTTAAGTTTTGAATCCAGAGATCCTCGAGGAACGTGGGGCCTACCTCACTATTACAGCAGCAGCCACAAAACATGCACTTCATTTTTTGTGTGCGATTTTTGTATGTTAGCTTTTGCCTCAGCCCAGACTTCCCTTCAGTCGTTTTAGTACTAACCTCGTATAAAGCCCTTAACACTCGCTTATTACAAATTTGTATAATTCTTGCCTTAAAGTCGTGGAGACATCCCCGTAGTCACTTATCTGAAGAAAACACTATCACAGACATTTTAAAGGCCTCACATTTCCTTAGAAGGGTCTAGAACGCCCTGCGCTGCACCTTGCCGGGCGTAGTAAAACAGCACCCACACCCCCAAAGAAACAAGGTCACGCCCCTCCGCGGGCCAATCAAACGGGTCTTCGATGAGCTCCGCGCTGCCTTCCCACCTCCCCCTGGGGCGCGCACTTCCGGCCGCTAGGGCGGCGGGGAGCGCGCCCCGCGAGCTTCCACCAACCAGCGGCTCCGCTCGGCCGGCGCGAGCGCGCGCGCACACGTTGTGCGCAGGTTCGAATCTCCGCCGCTTCGCGGTTGCTCTCCAACGTCCAGGCCACACCTCGGCGGCTGCTAAGGCAGTGTGCGCGGGCTGTGTCCAAAGCGGGCCGCCCCGCCCGCTCCACCCCCTCCGCCTCCAGCCGCATCCTCGCTAGATTTCAGCCTCGCCCTCGCGCGCTCCGCCCTCAGCGCCCGCTACTATCTGCGCCCGGTCTCCCACGCCGGGCGGGAGCCCGAGCCTCTGGGCCCATGGCCAAGCGGCGTGCGGCCGAGCCGGTGACGTTCCACGTGCCTTGGAAGCGGCTCCTGCTCAGCGACTTCACCGAGGAGCCGCCGCCGTCGCCGCTCTGGATCCGGGCGCCCGGGGCAGCGCATCCTGGGCAGCCTCTCGGCGTCCGGGAGCTTCGCCGAAAGCGCAGAATCGACGCGGGGGCCATGGCAGAGTCTTCGGCTTCGCCCAGCAAGCGCCGCGATAGTGGGGACAGCAACGCTCCGGGCGGCGAAGAGTGTGAGGGCCGCGGCCTGGAGACGGGCGAGCCGCCGTTGCTGCAGCCTCCAGTACGGCCCTGCGGGCCGGGGGAGGAGCCCCGGGGAGCCCGGCCCCTGAGGGGCGGAGGCGACGACGGGGCGGGGCACGCAGGGCCCCTGCAGGGAGAATGGGGGGCTGCACCGCGCCAGGTAGGGACCAGGGTGGGTGGGGTGCGGGGGCGCAGGGGCCCGGGGGTTAGTCTTTCCCCAGACGCCCTACACTCTCCGGGAACAACCAGTAGTTCCGCTCATGACATGTTTGTAAGACACCCCCAAAGGCGAAAAGCCAGGTCGCCGCTCTGGGAATGGACGCTGACCCCCCAGGCACCGCACTGAGGGAGTCCGATGGGCAGAAAGCACTTTGCTGGTCTAGGGGGAAATGCGGCGTTCCCGCGGGGGAGAAGCGGCCGTGCGGCTTCGGCACAGGCCTTCGTAAGGGGGCAGCAGGACGTGGACTCGGCCGGCGGTAGAACGTGGGAAAGACGTTGACCGTGAACATAGATAGGTTCAGCCCAACGACACATGTCAGAGAGATGTAGCGTGCCCTTCTTGGTTTAACGGTGATTATTCAAGAATTCATGATGGATTCTTTCTAAACAGGGCAACCAACGTGGTAGCCGTCAATTGCATTGGACGAGCTGTAGGCTGGTACAACTCTTTTGGCAGAGACGAAGAACCCCCATTTCTTGGGAAAAGCTTTATACTGAGCGTTAAATCTGATCTTATGAGAAAGGATGGTTGAAAATTAATTAGGGCTACGGTGAACCGTATTTGAGAATCATGGCTGGGGGTTCCTAGCTCAGGAAATAAGCCTGTCTTATCTCTGTGCCCTAAGAATCCTGAGAAAGTCTAGGTTTGGGTAGATTTGCCGTTTCCTGAGACAGCCACTTGGCCACGTGAGACCGCTGAACATTTAAAATGTGACTACTACAAATTGAGATGTTCTGTAAGTGTAAAATACACACTAAATTTCATAGATTTAGTAAGCAGGATAAAATAGCTCAGGTTTTTATATTGCTTACATGTGAAATTTGGATATATTGGATTGAATAAAATATATTAAAATGAATTTCACAACTTTCTTTTACTTTTTCAATATGGCTACTAGAAAACTTTTAAGTTATATTTGTGGCTCACATTATGTATTTATCGGGCAGCTTTGGTCTAGGCTAAGGAATTCAGGGTGCTTTTTCACAGCTCTGGAATGACTTAGCAAAGGGACTTGGGGATGGAATGAGTAAATGTAGGACTCAAGAGTTCACCAAACCCCCTTAGTGAGCATAGCACTCACTCAACATTTTGATGTTAAGTATTTATGGCAGAATTTATCAGATGCCTTTCTAAGAAAAAAATTGAAGTTTTTCTAGCATGATGAATTTTCATGTGAAAAGCCCAATAAAATAATGACAGTTTTATAGTTAAGAATGATCTCCTTCCATGGCTCTGAGAAATTATCTTTTAGACTTAATCATTATCATGAGATTTTTGGATGAAATTATTACATAGTAAATATATTACCCCTAGTTCAGAAGTTACAAAATATGAACCTTATTTTAAGCCTTTTTTTTCAGATTGTTCCTGGATATTCAAAAGTGTCTAACAGAATCATAGTCACTTAGATGTATTGCATTTGGAAGTAGGGATTGTGTAGTTTGAAAACTTTCTGGAAGTTTTTCACACCATTTTTTGGTTCCCCCATCCTCCACCCCATACACAGGCTTGTCTTTCCTATTGAAATACGTTGACTACAGTGTGCCCCTTGGTTGACAAGAGAAAAATGTGGAAATGACAGATTGGCAGAAGAAAGGCAGTTTTTTCAGTAGACTGTCACAAAAACACTGGCTTAGAATCCCATGGACCTGTATCTTCCTCAATAGCAGTGACTGTAGATCTGATGGCTGTTTCCTAAAGTTGTTGCAAGCTTGTGGCAGGCAAAAAGCTTGGCTCCAGGGGTTCCTTCACCAAATCTGGACTTTTTTCTTTGCCAAATCCCACGTTTCTTTTTTTTTTTTGTTAGGTTTCTGCCTGGAGCTGCTTCTCTTCTGCAAACCTAAGAGAGGAACATGCTCTCTTCAGCTTCCCTCTTCCGGCCTCCAAAGACAGGCTTTTTGTTTTTATAGCTATTCTCCAAGGGAAAACTAGATACAACAAAAACAAATAAGTTTTTCAGTTCAATGCAGTAAATGCCTGGTTTCTCTCCTGTTCAGAATAGGACTTAAGTTTCTTCTTTCACTCTTGAGACCTCATTTAGAAAATACTACTTCAAATACTGTTTTTCTACATTAAGCATGGAACCTAAGCAGAATAATGACACCTCTTTTCTGCCCCAGAATTTCAGAATATTTCCTAAGCTGTTGTGGTATATTTTTACTAGAGAATTAAAGTAAAATCAGGTATTAAATGTTTTTTTTTTATGTCAGTGTTATTATTTAGTGCTGATACATTGGTCTGCCAGTGTTGACTTTTAGTGTTAGTTTTGTTTTGTTTTTTGAGACAAAGTTTCACTTTGTTGCCCTCAGTAGAGTGCCCTAGCATCATAGGTCACAGCAGCCTCAAACTTTTGGGCTCAAGCGATTCTCTTGCCTCAGCCTCCCAAGGAATAGCTGGGACTACAAGCACCCACCAAAATGCCTGGTGATAGTGTTAGGTATTTGTAACAAAGTAAGCAGAGATTTTAATTTTCTAAGGGAAAAATTATTAATGATTCTCAGGCTTATTGGAATACAATATTGATCAATTACTATGCTAAACCTTAATTCTTTTAATTCTTACAATGGTTCTCCATTTTACTAATGGGGTCAAGATTAGAGTTAGTGGGCGGTGGAGTTATCTTGCAAACCCAGGTTTGTCTGGTGGCAGAGTTAGCGTCTTTAGTTACTAGGTTGTACTAACATTAAAGGACCTTTCTTCAGTCCAGCTTTTACAAGTAGATAATTTGAAAAATAGATTTTCCAAAAAGCAGAGAGAACTAGAACTTTGCTTTTAACTCTTTTTTTTTTTGTAGAGACAGAGTCTCACTCACTTTATCGATCTCGGTGGAGTGTCATGATGTCACACAGTTCCCAGCAATCTCCAACTCCTGGGTTTAGGTGATTCTCTTGCCTCAGCCTCCTGACTAGCTGGGACTATAGGCACCCACCACAATGCCCGGCTGTTTTTTTGTTGCAATTTGGCTGGACCGGGTTTGAACTCACCACCCTCAGTATATGGGGCCAGCGCCCTACTCACTGAGCAACAGGCACCGCTCTTAACTCTTATCTTATTCTTTTTTTTTTTTTTTTTTTTTTGAGACAGAGCCTCAAGCTGTCCCTCTGGGTAGAGTGCCATGGCTTCACTGCTCACAGCAATCTCCAACTCCTGGGCTCAAGTGAGTCTCCTGCCTCAGCCTCCCAAGTAGTTGGGACCACAGGCGCCCGCCACAACGCCCAGCTGTTTTTTGGTTGCAGCCATTATTGTTGTTTGGGGGGCCTCGGCTGGGGATTCGAACCTGCCACCTTAGTTGTATGTGGCTGGCTCCTTAGCCACTTGAGCCACAGGCGCTGAGCCTTATCTTCTTATTAAAGTGAAATTTTTCTTGGTTTCCTTTGACTTATTATATCCCAATTTTAAGAAATTCCCAAAAGACTTTTGATTCTCTAAGCATTTGAGTCTAAAACAAAGAATTCTTCCTAATGAGACTTTCTGAAAGTCTCTCCAGCACTGTAGCCACTGAAACACATTTAGCTAATGAGCAATGTAATGGTAGTATGAATAGTGCTGAAAGTATAAAATACATGCCAGATTTTGAAAACTTTCATTTGTAGTTCCTTGAAATAGTTTCATAGCCATTCAGAGCCACTGAATTTTTTTTTTTTTTTTTTGACAGTCTCACTATGTTGCCCTAGGGAGAATGCCCTGATATCACAGCTCACAGCAACCTGAAACTCTGGCTTAAGCGATTCGACTGGCTATTTTTTTGTCGTGATTGTTAACTGTCATTGCTATTTGGCAGGCCTGGGCTGGGTTCAAACCTGCCAGCTCTGGTGTATGTGGCTGGCTCTTTAGCCGCTGAGCTACAGGCACCAAGCCAGCCACTGAAATTTTAAGGGACCAGCATTCATTTAGATTTACAGAATTTTGATATATTGATTTAAAAGTTCGTCATGTACACAGAATAGTCCCTTTAATAAAATGATCAGTTTAAGATTTTTTTGCTATTTGCTGTGTTCATACCCTAATACTTTTTGGAAAGTCTTCAAAAAAAGACCAAATATACATTATAAGGGTGTATGAGTGTATATCTTTAAAATATTTTCCTCATTGAAAGATAAAAAATGTTAAGACCATTTTCAGATATTTACTCTGTGTTAAAAATGGGAGAGGGTGAGTTGTGGCTCATGCCTGTAATCCTACCACTTCAGAAGGCTGAAGCAGAAGGATTGCTTGAGACCAGGAGTTCAAAGCTATACAGTGAGTTATGATCAGGCCACATTGCACTCCAGCCTTGGTGACAGAACGAGACCCTATCTCTTAGAAGGAAAAATGTTTAAAAAAATATTTAATCTACCAACAAACACTTTCACAAATCCAAAAATATTAAAGTGTACAGATTTGATTAAGTGTATGAAATGATGGGGCAAAAATGATTGTTAAAATGGCAAAGTAAAAGACTGCAAAATTTTATGTGAGTTGCTTTTTAAACAGAATTGTTTCCTGAAAAAACTTTTTCTAAGCCACTGAGGTACTTTCATCTCTCTCTCTCTCTTTATTTTTCTCTAAAGCACAATGAAGAATTTTGGCAGTATAATACCTTTCAGTACTGGAGGAATCCTTTACCACCTATTGACCTGGCAGACATTGAAGATGTAACTGAAGACAACCTGACAGAAGCAGCACTTCAGGGCAAGAATGAAGTGGCCGAGATTGACATGGAGTCCTGACATAAGGACCTGAATAAGTGGGATTCATTAAATTTGAAAAGACATGTCTAAGTGAATTCATGTATTCTTAAGGAAAAAGTTTTTCCATACTTGCCGTGGTATCATTTCCAAACCTGAAAAATAAGGAAAGGTTGTTTTGACAATAAATACCTGCAGTTACTACTGAACCTGGGGTTTGTCACAGATATAGTGCAGTTTGGGAAGTATTTTATGTATGCATCCTTAAGGAAAAAGGCTTTGTTTAGATTCTGAATCCGAAGATAGTGATCTTATAAAAAGAAACTCTGGCAGTTTTTGAAACACTCGAATATCCCTCCCACCTGCACCAAAAAGTTTATCTGTGGTTTGTGAAATAATAAATATTTTATAATAACTATTACTAGTAAAATACTTTCTAATACATTTTATTGACTCTTAGTTGAACAAAGCTGACTTGAACATCTATGCAAATTTAAAGTGAGGAATTCTTTCTGAAAGCTAGCATTGTTTTTAATTCAAAGCTTGCAAAATGTGAAGTAGAGAGAATTTCAATTTGGGTAGCATGTATGCATAACTTCTAATATCTGACGTTTGTTAAGCTCTACTATGGGCAATCAAAAATGGATAAAGAACAGTGAAGAATGAGTCAGTGCCTGACCCCTTCCCCTTTTTCCAGGAGAAAAAGGAAAGAAATTTATCATATGATGAGTTTCTTGGTTTTGAATTGCTTTGAATGCATGGTTTTTATTGCTGTTCCTTTAGACTTGTAGTTCTCCACACTGACAGCACTTTAAAAATCTTTGCCTGGGCCTCTCTCTTGAGAGATTCTCACTTAATTGTTTCTGAGGTGGGCCTTGCATATAGCTATTTTTTTAAGCACCAGTCTTCTTTCTCTTCATTCCTCTAAAGTGCAGACAGGTTTGAGAACCACTAGACTAATGGTAGTAGTTTCCTGTTTAAAGGAGATAAATAATTTGAGCTGAAGCAATATCTCTTAGCTTTGGTTTTTTGCTCTGTTGATGGCTTTGTAACAACTAAATTATTGTTTTGTTATTACTGTTTCATTGTTAAAGAAATAAAGTAAACAATTTGTGTTTGAGTTATGTGAGTATCGGTGATTAAGTTAATTAACTTTTGTACCGCATCCAGAATTTTGGCTTTGTAATTGAGTAACTCCTCCCTGCTTGTGTGTTTTTTGTTGTTGATGACATTAGAGTCAAAAATTCAGGAAAGATGGTAAATGCCAATGAGAGAGAGAAACCTTGATGTTTTATGTGTACTGCAGGATTTAAGAATGGGTTGACAGTAAGACAAACTGTATATAGTATTGTGGTCAGACACAGTTCAAAGTCTTGTACTGCCACTTCCTACCTATGTAACCTTAAGTAAGTTATTTTTCATCTTTAAGCCTCAGATTTCTCACCTGTAAAATGAGAAATAATAAATAGTATCTACCTCAGAGAGACTGTTTATTGTCAAGCAATGCTGTAAGTACTTTACATCATCTTGTTTAATTCTCATAGTAATCTTAAGTTAAGTTAAAAAAATCATTAGAATAAACATGCTTCCTATAATTCCACTTCATTCCACTTTAACTGCTAATAGAAGTTTCAGGATAGGAATTGGAATAGAAACTTTCAACTTAATAATGGGTTTATGATAACCCCACGTTAAATTGCTTTCACACTGGTAAAGTTGAAAAACTGTTAAAAACCATCATAAGTCAGGGACTATATATATGTGTGCATAGTGGGGGAGAGATTTGAAATATTCCCTCTTACAGGAAAAGTTGTTTAGGGCTGGACATGGTAGCTCACACTGGTAATCTCAGCACTTTGGGAGGCCAGGAGTTGTTGAGACTGGCCTGAGCAACATAGTTAAGACTCTATCTT